TACGTTCTTGGCAGATGATCCCGAAGTGGTTTGCCATTGCCTTCTTCTGTGTGTGAATGGAGTAATTGTTGGGATGCCACGGAGGAAAACTCCGTGTTGCCTAGACCACGGCCTTGCCCAACACAAGTTATAAATTCGAACCCGAGACCCCAGGATTACAAGGCCAGCGTTCTAACCGCTAGACCACCGCGGCTACTGAAATATATATGAGGTAAATATTTTCTTTGGAATTAATGATCACGGAATAGAAACGCGTTGGGGTGTGGAATTTAGGTTCCACACATTATAGGTCTCTACACCGGTTGGTATTCCATTTTCATTTAAAGGGGAATGCTGTATAACACATACGTTATGCACATGTCTGATTTTCATTATTGTGTTAGTTAAGGCTCCCCTGATTTAAAGCTCATTAAAACAGCTTTAGGGGGAAGAATTGTTCGCGTCTGTGGTCCGGGCTGTCTCATTTCCACTTCGATTTCGACAAGCGCTTTGAAAGGCACGGAAATTGTCTGCAGACTCAGCAGGGCTGCCGCGCCTTAACTTGCCCATTTACATTTTAATTCCTTTTTACACAAATTTTGAAACGTTTTCCTCAAAATGAAATTGTACGTGGCAGGAATCTTATTCATGTTCGCCTGTTCTGTGTACAGCTTAACTCTTCTCTAGGTTTGTCTCTTATTCTGTCCGTGGCTGATAAATGTTGAGGAGATCGATGAGTTTTGTGAAAATATACCACGCCACTACGCCGCTAAAACTTATCAAATGAGTAACTATGGTAACGAAACCTGAAGTTTAAGATTCTCTTCTTTTTTATTATTATTTTACTATAAAAATTTCTGACCCACAATTCTGAGCAAGTTACTTAACTTCGTAACGTCATGATTGTTCTTTACTGTTTTGTGACACCATTTGGACTTGTAGGTGGTTATCAGGGTTCCTGAGGAACGTGTCGCTTTCGTCTTCAGGGTGAAAGTCTTACTTAATCATGAATATGATTGTGATACGTTAGCAGACGACTCTAAATGTCGGAGATTGTGGAAACTTGTTGTAAGAAGGCGCTTCTCTGAAAGGACTAGGGACCACATGCGGTAGTTTGTATGGAAGAACCGACTCACCGAGGCAAGTCATTATCGCCTTTCGGGATCAACACGTCGACAGCGTATTCCATTTACGTATTTTAAAGTTTCTCGCCTCTATTTTTAGAGTTGTGTGTTGCTGTCTTTGAGAAGAAACTGTTTTCCGATAACTGAAGTAAGCATTACGCAGACATTTCTTATTATTCAGTAACTTCGTAGGCGTTTCAAATGACTCGTTCCTTCTCTTACAATCTGAAATTCTTCTGCACGACGTCGACAACGTTTATTATTCCAGCCATCTGTCCATCATTCTCCATACAATACTGCTGATTCCGTCCTAACTTATACTTGCTCATTATTTATCTTCTTACTGTATCATTCTGTGTTATAGAATCTCTGTACCTGAAACAGCGACTTCAAGTAACTCAGTGACGCACTTTTATGTTCATTTGTTATACTGTATACACTCCTTCAATGCTGATTCAGTTATACGAGTGAAAATAAATGTGAAACTTTATTTGTCAAACTTGGAAATTCGATTATATTTGGTCTGCCTAATACAATGTGTAAAATCATACGAAAGATGACATTGCTGTTTAAAAAGCTCAAGATAGTTTAGCTTTTGTATCTCTACGTATTCGTTTAACCAATTTGGTTTGTTTTATTCAGCACAGGGAAGGGTATAAATACGATTCAGCTCAACTGTAATCCACCCCCTCTGGGTCCCTCAGTCTCCGCATTTCACTGTTTCTGATATTGCCCTCGCACAGCATTGTGGGATCAGAACGTAGGTGTAAAAGTTTCAAGGTTACGCCACTAGATGGGGGAGTGGAGATTGTGGATAGGTTGCGCGGTGGTTTGTGCGCAGCTGAAGTTGGCTTCACACTCCGTTGATATTTTATTTTAATGATTAACTTTCCGATTATATTTTATCATTTATCACAGTTTCGTCATAATAAAATATAATTCAATGTGTTTATGATGTTTTGTATGTTAACGTTGGCTTTCCACGGCCTTGTTCCCGTATCCCCATTAAACCTTAACAATATTAAGTTCGTCGAACGCGGATTTACCAAACACGTCGCTTTGGACGAAGGGTTTACGGTAATGTTCATGCACTGAAACCGTTCGTTAGCCCTGTCTGTCGGTTGAATGTCAGCTAAAATGACAGCCGAACTGCAAATTTTCCTCATAAATTTCAAAACGTGAATTAGAGTCTGGATGAAATATTGGCGATCCAGAGGCTCGGGACAATTTTGGGGCGACCATCTGACGACATTTATTTAGGCAATCGTTAAGCCAGATCCGGAATGGACAATTGCATAAGGAGACTCTTCATTTCTCTGATATCACCTCAAATATTTCGCCTCTCAGTCTGCTTGTCTGTCCGCTCGTCAGTTCCCTGTTTCAAACATATTTAACGCCTTGCATTATAGGCAACTTCTCTGACACATATACACTGCGGGAAGCCTAACCATATTTCAGACCCTGAACGCGTGGTTCATGGAGAATAATGGTTGTGAAAAGGGGGAGGGAGGATAGACTAAAGAAGGTTAATATAAATAAGGGGCTGCTGAATAAGTAAATTAACTAAATATGTAACTGGACTAACTCAATACTGGCAACGACCCGTTCTTCAAGTGCCTGAGCACTGCGGGTTCGTAGGTTCAGTACAGAGTTTATAAAAGTCAGCTCAACTCTGAGGACCTGTGGTTTAGTAAAGTCGGAACCGTCCACCAAGAGACGTATCTGCTCTGTCGTCTGAAACGGCAAGACCTGAGGTTTTCACGGCTGAATTCATCATCAGGGATCATCGTCCTGGTGATGGAGGCAGTATGACCTCTGAAACGTCCGTAAACTTCTACCAAACTTCACAGCACACACGGCGCAACAACCCATCATTTCGGTGCAGGGCATAAGATAACACAAATCATCGCTTTCGTCAGGAAACGTCGTCCTATTTATATTTATTTTCCGCATTTTGTTACTTTTTATTCCAACTCCACTTTCTCCTATCCTCCATCTCCTTCTCTCTTCTTAACCTCTTCTTCTGTTTTATTTCCTTCTTTTCTGGTTATTTTTCATCCTCTTGGCTTCCTGACATCCACAAAATTGCGTACGGGACTTGAAGAAACATTTGTTATTAATCCGATTTATGTAAGATTTCCGTTTGCATCGGTATTTTGAAAAGTATTTATTGCTAAGTCATTGACAGAGCCGTCTACTGAATGACCTCGTTGTGATTAACGATGGAGTAGCTGGGGACTTCCGGAACCGCTAGGGTGGCCGTCAAAACTTTTTACGAAGTTGCTACCGGGGATAAAGTTGACTAAACTTGAAGCTTACTATTTATATCTGTCTAGTTCGAGGATAAAGTTGCGTGGGGGTAAAAATATATTATCCGTCCGTCTTACTTCTGGTGTGGTGAGGATTATCGGACATCGTCTGATAATCTTTCTAAGAGAAGGGTGAGACGTATTGCGAATTAGGAAAGGAATGAAGGAAGTACATAGTTTTATTTTTTATACTTCAAGATAAGAGACGACTTCAGTTACCTATTTTTTTGACGGGATATGCCATTAAAATGGACGTTAGAGGTACATATTGTGAGAGTGGACAGTGTATTCGATTAATTCAGAATAGATTCTAATGATAAAAGTTTTGAAAACTCTGTAATGAACCTTTTTCTCCATTAGGGACTGAATTATTTATTTAACGGTTACATTAAAATAGAACGCAAACAGAACGGAATGTTTGTCCACCGGAACCATGACTCAGTTTGTATGTTTCGTCATGTACAGACATGTCAGACTGCGGTTTCACGGAGACGAGAATACAGATGGGTTTTTTTTCTCTCTCCGGGATTCTACATCGTGTAGTCTGATAGAAATTTAACGACGTTTTAGAGATGCTTACTGCCTTCTTCATCAGGGTACCCTACTAGACAACAGGGCGCAACATTCTCGAAGACAGCTGTTTTATAAATTCTGACAGCTTTGACGTCTTCGTCGATGACGGATTAATCCATCTGTAGAGCTCAAACTGAGAATCCTTTCGCTGGTGAGCACAAACGAGACAATTTCACTCGAATGTCTTCGATGGTGGATCTGACGCGCTGACCTTTTAGGTTGGCTACGACTGTCATCTGTCGGTTCTCGCTACCAGGAAGAACTACTGAGCATGGAACATAATGTTGAGTTTTTGCAATGGACTTCCTGAAATCGATTACATGACTCGCATACATGCAGTGCACCTGTTGTGACGTCAGTACAGTTCAGATCATGAAACTGTGTGGCCACCCGCTGAATCTTGGACCTCCTGATGATATCACTGCCTTTGTCATCTGTGTCCTCTTGCGTGTAGTACTGAAAAGTGGTTTTAGCATTCTAATATTCTTTTTTATGCCGGAAGATTTCTGTCTTCTAGATTGTTGCACTGTGTAGTCTCGTAGAAGTTTACCGATTTTTAGAGGTCCTTTGGAGACTGGATTTTGTTGACCCAAGACAGGGTCTGGTGGAGGGCTTTGGTTAATTCGGTGATGAACCTTCGTGTTCGGTAAGCCATCTAGTTAGAGGTCCTTTCCTTAACGTACCATTTTATTTCCCAGAAATCCAGGTATATAATTTTTGTTGTGGTTTGTATGTGTGGCCTAGATATGTACTATATACAAAACTTTGGTCAATAAACCTGAAGGAGAGAACTATATTTGCATGTGAGGATGATATTAAAACGGATCTTGAATTGAATGTGTTGGTATTGAATGAATTAATCTGATTTATGCATTGATTGACGGTAATCACCATTAGATTTCCACAACCGCAGAATAATTTTTGACTTGCTAAGCCCCAAAATACGCACGTAGTTTGAACAGAGCGCCACTAGCGACCACGTGACTAGAAAGTACCGTGCGATTGGCTGTTGCAGGGACTCGGAGCGGGAGGCGGGGGAGGGGAGGAGGACTCGACGCGTGCCCAGTCTCAAGCTGGCGAACGGCCGGCTACGAGTTGGGGCCACGCAGTCCGAGGAAGAGATTCGTTCTCCGCCGCCACAACCTCGTCTCGCCAAGGATGACTCCATCAAGATCAGCATCGAGAACACAAACACGTGTACCGACTCACTGGTGACTGCAATCGACGACGAGGCTCTGCTCATCGCGGACTACCTGTCCAACTCCCTAACGAACATGAACTACAAGGAGAGTGGAAAGGTGCATTTTGGGGGTGACGATGTCAGTTTATATGGCACCCCTAAGGAGGAGCCGGGGCCCAACCCTCTGGGTGCCAGCGAGAAACAGAGCTTCATCAAGAACCAACTCCAGGCCCTGTTTCAACCCACGGACAACAAACTGGCGATGAAGCTCTTCGGCAGTAAGAAGGCGTTGATGAAGGAGCGGATTAGACAGAGGGCGGCCGGACACTGGGTCATCCACCCCTGTTCCAGCTTCAGGTCAGTGCTAATTTGCATATTCTAGATTCACGTAGTTGAAACCCTTCCCCATTAACCACCAGTGCGATGTTATAAACGAAGGAATTTCTTCATGGGGTTACAGTGCGGCACTGACGTTGCTAGTGATCTGCTCGTCTCGAAACGACAAGAGGTTTTGTGTCTGTGATAGAAAAAACTTACTTTAAAACCCAGTGGTAACTATACATACCACCTGTTTTAACACTCGATGATTCTGAACTTTGTCCACGGATTGTACATTACGAGTTTCGTGTTATTCCACAGTAAAAGTTAAACAATATTACGAGAATAATTTCGTCCTTTCGTGTGTGCCTAAATTAAGATTTCTCACTGTCTATTTAACGACGTCCTAACTGCTTATATTGTTTAACTTTGAATTGCATAATAATTTATGAACGCGTGTGAGTTTTCGGGGCCGGGACATCCAGTAGCAGTGTTATCCACTCAACCGAGACGTTTGATGGTAAGAAGTGGTCGTGTACTATTTTAAATAATTAATCTCTGTTCGATTTTCGAAGTGACAGAGGAAAACCACGAATATGTTCTTACGCGTTTTCTGACCTGAGAAAAGTGACGTATAAATAATCAAACACTGCCCATGGTTTTAATGATGTAACTTTATTCAGTCGGGAATCAAATCCTGGTCCCTTCGTCTCGTTGTCTTACTTACACGTACGTAGATGGTACAGTCTTTTGATTTATAGTTACTTGTTTTCGTAAGGAATCGCCTTCTTCCCACGTAGTATTTATCCACACACATCCATTCTGATGTGAACACAATCCCAACTTGTTAATGGATTTTTCAATTTTTAAGAAACACGACTTTAAGTAAAATTAACCTCTCTGCTACGCACGGCATATCTCGGTTCTGGCCTGCGTGTTTGTTGGGACGTTCGGCGAACAAAACAGTTTACATTAACCGTTTATGAGTTTTCAAGAATAGAAATTACGCTCGACTCCTCAAGGTATCTTTATACAGAAAAGGTCTCGAGAAGCAAAGTTATCGATTATATGAATCGATTTTCTAACGTTATAGTTCAGTAAATGACTTAAGTGTACGGTAATTCAACCCTGAATATTGAGGCTTTAAAAACGCGTGTACACGTCGTCGAAACCAAGAGAGATATCATCGATTTCTGAACCCAGAGAACACCAAATCTCACCACGAGCTGTAGTTAAAACTCTTTTACGTAGTGATACAATGTGTCGATATTTATGTGATTTTCAGTTGTTTATCACTTGTAAAGTTTTGGTTGAATTCATGCACTGATATTACCTAATTTGTTTAACCAATCAAAGAATTGTTCAACGAAGCCTTTATTGTTTACTGAACAATTTAAAGATTCCTGACGTGGCTCCGATTGCAGAAACTAGGCTATTCCGTTGCTGAGAGTTGGTGACTAACGATCAGCGTGAGATTTTAAAGATTTGTTGTATCGAACACAAGCCCAGGGTAGCCGGGTATTGAACTGAGACCTCCTGAATATAAAGTGGGAGTGTGTATATTCGTGAGTCATTGCGTCATCCCTCGTATTTTTAACATTGATGACGAATGAAGAATTGGGCAAGCACGAACAGCGTAAGTGCACTAGTTACTGACAAAGAGTCAAATGGGACCACTGGCTGTGCTAACCGGGGTTGTTGTAGAAATATCCCGTATTTTTAGTGGTCAGAGTGTGAAGATGATTAAAGCTTTTCCAGAGTCGAAGGCACATTCACTGTTCCTTATCGACTTACGTGCACCAATTTGTAATACATATATTTATTTTTCCAGTCTATACACAAAACTTGTTTTAAAATAATGTTGTTTAAAATTTTATAACATTTACAATATAAATTGCATTATGTTATATTTTATATTTTATGGTGCTTTCTGTGTCGTATAATATTACATCTTTCCAGCGCTTTTGATTTTTGACGACATGTTTCGATGTTTACCACATCATCTTCAGGCTTATCAATACATACATTTTAAAAACTATTGTACATTTTTGTGCATTGCATTTGTTGATTTTTAATTTTCTGTCTTCATCTTGATTTGGAGTATGCATTTAGATGTTCATTATCGAGTTATATTGTGATATAGACTGGAAAATAAATATATGTATTGATATAACACAAACATGACGCAATTAAGATATATATAAAAAAAACCAATTTGTAAATAATGACAATTTATCGAAACCTCGTGGCAACTTACGTGATATTAAATCTGAACTACACTTGTGATTCAGTATATCTTTTTAATAAAATGTTTTGGTATTACGTTCTCGAGATTAATTATTCCTGGTAATAGTTAATTGCTATTATAATTTAATTTAATTTACCTCGATTCTCGTGAATTCTTCAAAGTGTTAATCTTTAAGATTATTTCTGATACCTGAGCAAACGTTTTTCTGTGATACGCAAAATTGTGTAGTTCACAGCGATACGTACCGCCGATAAAACATTAACAAACAGTGAATGAACAGCGTAGGCGCTGTTTTGATGGAGAAATATTGTTGGAATATAAAAGTGATTTTCAAAATAATGGGATTTCTGACTCTCATATTCTTTTAACTCTTTTCGTTC